ACTTTTTTGCTGTTTCTGTTTTGTTAGCTTCTTGGCCTATTTTTAGTAATAGTTTGGTAAGCTGAAGAGTAAATAAGAATCATCCTTGACAGAATTCTAAGAATTTATTTGATCTAGTCTACTTTAATATAATGAAGAAATGGACCTAGATGGTTTTGCAGTCATATTTGGTTTAGTCTAAGCTCAATATTTAGAGGGTATTTACATTTTAATGTCTTATTCCGACATACATTTTTTCCTAAAAAGAAAATAGTAATTGTAATGTTTAAAAATTCATGTTCTGTTAAAATTACTTAAATTCCTAAGGTTGCCAACTTTTCAAATATGGATGAGGATGACATTGAGTTGGAACCTGAAAGAAATTCAAAGAACTGGGAGGAAATCATTCCTGAAGATCAAAGGAGACGATTAGAAGAGGAAGAAAGGCAAAAAGAACTTGAAGAGATTTATATGCTCCCAAGAATGAGAAATTGTGCAAAGCAGGTAACTTTATTCACTTAAGGAATGATTTTCTGTTCTTATTCTTCGTAAGCGGTAAGGGTCTACACCTTTTTTTGTAATGTATTTGTCAGGTTCAATAATGACTTGGGAAATTCTCCCCTTTATATTTTGGGTGATAGTTTGTATTATTGTTAAGTGTTGTTGAGTCAGTTCGAACTCAGTAGTGACTTTAAGTACAACAAAAGTAATCACTGCTTGGTGCTTTACTATGTGTAGTCATTGACATATTTGAGCTCATTGGTTGCAATCACATCTTACTCATGATGTCCTCCAGAGATTGGTTCCTCCTGACAGCACAGCTAAGGTAATTTGAGATAAAGCCTCACCATCCTTCGTACCGAAGAACATTCTGCCAGTCCTTCCAAGACAGATTTGTCAGTTGCTTAAGATATCTGCAATATATTCTCCTTCAACTTCTTTTAGGAGACCATTTTTCAATGGTCATGTTCCATCTTGTACATACATGTCCGGCAATTGAAATATCATGACTTGGGTCCTTTATACCCTCTTCATTTTTGGTAAAGGTTAAAAAAAAAAAAAAAAAAGAAACCAAGCTACTGCTAAATTACAGATACCTCAAGTATCTTACCATCACCACACAAAATAAGGCCTGTAACAGAAGATTTGCCCAAAGCAATGTGTTGCTTGATTTCTTGAATGCTGCGTCCATTGGTGTTAATTGTGGAGCCCAGAAAGACGAAGCCTTTACAAGTTCAATCTTTTTCTTCACTTTTTTATTTTTTTTGGTATTCAAACCACTGGTTTTTATGATACATAAATCTTTTTTCTTTTTAAAAAAAATCATTATTGGGGGTTCAAAAAACTCATCAAAATCCATACATAAATTAATGTGTAAAGCACATTTTTACATTTGTTGCCATCATCATTCTCAAAACAT